TGCGACGCCAGTCGTGAGGGATGGTCTTCTGCGAGCACTTCCGTACGTATCGCGACAACACGCTCCAGCAGCTTGACCGCCTCCTTGACCTGTCCATTTGCTTGATACGCCGTGGCGAGTACGTGTTGTGATGACAGCCGATCTGCGTCATCTGCAGCCAGATTTCTATCCCTCCACTCGCGAGATTCCCGCAGCCAGATAACAGCTTCTTTCATCCTCCCATCAACGTATAAGCACTGTCCCACTTTTAGACAGAGCTCGCTCTTCGCCTCGGTATCTTGGCATTGCTGGTTTTGGTCTATACGTGCCACATGCGGCAGATATTGTCGCCAGATCTCACGATTCGCGTAATCGTCAGACGGAAACACTTCCGAGAGGTGTTGTAGTGCCGCCCTACTCGTCTCTATTTCACGCCCGTTCTGACGAATCCATATTCTCGTTGACAAATGGACAAGCCTGTGCATGTCAAGCATCTTGCCGTCGTCCCTTCTCTCCAGAAGCGAGTACGAACAAAGCGTGCCGATAGCAGTCGCCATCCGTACTTTGGGCTGAATAGTAGGTAGGATTGTATATGGAATCGCCTTCCACTCAATGCAAGAGATAAAGTCGAGAAGGTCTGCTGCTATCGTGTCGTGCTTAAGAATCTGGTTGAAACTGACTATCCAAGTCTTTGCCACCGCGTTCACCGACTCTTTGTATCGTGTATTGTCGGCAAATTCAATGCTCATGATCGCGAGGGCGTCCTGCTCTGAATTCTTGAGCAACTGAAGATACTCAGAGATAGAGCTTTTGTTCGTGTTGATGTATGCCGCCGCTTGAGTGATGGCTAAGGGAAGATAGTCCAGTTCAACGAGGAGGTTCGTTATAAGCGTATCGTCGCTAGGTAGGTGCTTTAGGATTAACGACTTCTTCAGTAAGTTTATCGCCTCTTGTGTCTTCATCTTTTCGACTTCAATCACATCGCCCCCCACAACAAACTGGGCAACTTCATTATGCCGGGTCGTGAACAAAGTTAGGCCGTTGTCGCTCTCTGGTAAAAAGTCTAATAAACCTTCCCCTTGCTCGACGCCGCGAAGAAGGTCCATATCGTCGGCATTGTCGATAATCAGTAACCACTTGTTTTTGGTCTTCTCACTCAGCCCTTGCTGTACAAGCTTCCGGACATCCTCTTTACCGTCTTCCGACTGATGCATCTTTAATTTTCTTGCTATCTCCGTGCACGCCTGCTCAAACGTCTCCATACTCAGCGCTGGTAACCAGAAGATAGAGAAGTCTGGATAGCTTCCTCTAACCCAGTACGCGAACTCGAGCGCGGTCTGCGTCTTGCCGACGCCACCGAGGCCGACAAGAGCCATTTTCTGGCATTCCTTGTCTATAAAGAGCTTTTTCTTTAACACATCGAGCTCGGTGTCTCGACCAACGAACTGTCGATTTCGCGGGAAAGGAAGATGCTCTATTGCAAATAAGTTCAATTTGCCTATATAGAACTGCGATAGCTATACTAACCTCTCGTTGCTTCATCGACCGTCGCCATCTTCGCTACGTCTGCTACAGGTATGACCGACAGCAGCTCCTTCGCGTACGCCGCCGCGGTTCCAGCCGCGTATGGTTGCCATTTCTTGTTCTTATGCGAGTCGGCGTAGTCGCAGATGCCGCGGATCACTAGGCAAGGGAAGTTGTTCATCAAGCCTGCCGCCTCCATCTCGAAGCACAGCACCCCTCTAAATTCCGAGCTGATCTGGTCTCTTATAGCCCCATCCCTCATTACCTGGCTTCCTGATGCGATCGTGCCGTAGTGAACCAGAGGCGTGCTGTTTGCCCGCTCCTCCCTCTGTATTCGTCGTGCCGCTGCGCATGATGCGCAACTGTCCTCTCCGACGTGATTATACTCCGCTTCGAATAGCACATCGCTTCCTGCTTTGTCGCGGGCAAAGTCCGGGAGGTTGCTAAGCTTCAACAGATGTGGCGATAGATTACTTCTCCCTCGGCGTTGGTTGGATCGCAGCTTCGTGACCGCACCGAGGAGAATCAGGGGTGGGGAGTTAAGAAATCCCGTCCGCTCGAATCCGCTGGGCGTCGACTTTCCAAAATCGTACTGGATCACCCCGCCATGGCCATTCCCCGGTTGGCTAACAACAACGTCTCCGAGCCGGATGTCTGCTTGTTTGTCCGGAACGCCGCCTCCGATCCCTACCATCATTCCAAACCGAATGGCTGGGAAGGTTGACTTCATTTGCATGGCAACTGCCGTGGCGGAGGCGACGCCCATGAAACCCGCAGGCAGGCAGGCAAGAACGACATTGTGCTCGCTAATGCGGCCTAGACAGTATATATTCGTATCGTTGTCGTGCAGAGGGAGGTCTTGATGCTCTTCGTCAAGCATCTCCTGCGCTGCTGTGAGCTCGTCCGGCAAGGCGCAGACCCACCCCACCGTGTAGTCGTCGCGTCGGAGCCGCGTCATTGTCTCCAAATGTCAATCAAAACGTCCGGAACCGGTTCTGGGCTTTCTGCTTCACTTGAAGGAGGACGACGAGCATAGGAGGCGGAGAAAGGCCATTATAAGGCTTGAGAACGAGGCGGTGCCGGCATATGGATACTGCCACTGGCTCTCGACGACTTCAGCCTCGCCGTTCGCGCCTTGGCCGGGCGCGAATGCACAAGTCGGCTGACTGGTCCCAAATGAACAAGGCTGCTACTGTCGCATGGCGTCCAATGGCAAGTGTCGACGCGTGTTTCCCACTGTCGCTCATCTCTCCTGCAGCTGATTATTAGAAAGCATATGAAGCATCATATAAGCATAGTTGCTGGCCTAGGGGAAATCAGGCCGCTTGCGACACTTTGCTCAGGTGTCAACCAGAGGACTTCCAGTTCTGCATGTTGACCAACCCTACTGTCCCTGCCTAACTGGAGTTCGTGTTACTGGAATCTGGATAGAGGGATGGGTTAAATTACATCGTGATTGTGTATATGTTACGTGGATATTGTTCCATGCTAGCCAGAATCATTATCGTTTGGATTTGAGGTAGCGATCTGCATGGCGAACTTGTGCAAATTTGCACCCGACACCAGCCTCAAGGGTGATGATGATGTCTAGCATCGTTGTAGGACTCTAAGTCTCGGACAAGGGCCTTTAATGAGTTTTAAACGTAGTAAGGGTACGATGGTGGTGCTTTGGCGGAAGAATTCTGTTAGGGTATGAAAGAAGACTCTCCGGGAATCAGGCGAGAAGGCGGCGATCCCAACTTAATTTTTTAAGTCGAAGTGGTCTTGAAGTTAAGGAATGGCTACAGCGCACGAATTAAACAAAACTTTAGAAAATATCAATGTTTGTGCAGTGTCTGGCTTGCTCTGAAGTCAAAGCACCCATGATTTGGCTCGGCACGCAGAGGTGCCCAGCACGCTGGGAGGGCGGTTACCCCTGCAATAGCCGTAACTATTAATTACTGCAGCAATCTTATCTCAGCTTGGGCTCAGACGTTACCCATGCCATGACCCTGGTTAAGCTAAACCGTAACCAGATTAAACCCATGTTTAGCGTAAAAACTAGTCACGTGAGTGCAACTGTCTTGGGTAACATATGCCAAAGGCAGTTATGCCAACTGCCTTTATGGCATATGATTGGCCAATATTTAGTGGCGCATGCTAAAGAAGAAGCTAGGCTTCATTGAGTATAGCGGAATACCATATTAGCCAGGGGGGACCATTGCCGACTACTTTTTGTCTATCCGGTAAGGCCCATCCTTATTGGCGTGTAATCGCAGATCCCACACGTATCCACGGAATGCAAGCACCCATACTTTATATCCTCTGGGCGTAGGCTTATTCGGGATGGTCACGGTCTCCTTTGCTCGCCCCAGGAACCGGACCATCGCTTCATCAGTTGCACAGTACGTCCCTGGATGCCAAAATTGCTGAAATCGAGTGGTGAAGAACTCCACTAACGGATACGTCTTGGCTAGCGGTGACGGCGCCCTTCCTGAGGTATGAGGAGGATGACAAGCGATGAAACGATTAATCTGTTCCCAACGAGTAAGCGATATATGCTTACGGACCGACGGGTGGAAAGGGCGATCTTGATCACTCTCATTCCAATAGTACTCCGCGCTAGGAGACCGATGTAAGCCCATATATATCACCACTGCGATATAGGCGTAAAACTCCCCATTGGTAACATCTCTCCAAGGACGCGGGCTGTCCTTGATGGGGAACCGTTTCTTGGTAGGGTCTGGAGCCCATGCCTTCGCGTGGAGGTTGGTATACATCCTCAACATATCAAAAAACTCGTCAGGAAAGAATAAGTTAATCAGAGCTGCAGGATCATCGTCCCTGATATCTTGCGATATTTTCGCATGCCCACCACGTTGGTGGGATCCTGATTCTGGTAATATCAAGGGCTGAAATTCAACAGGATCCCACGGCGGCGGAGGAAGAGGCCTCTTACTTAGCGGTAGGAGAGGTTTTCGCACTGGTTTCGACTGTTGTTTTGTGGCCTGTACAGTAGGCTCCTCCTGTATGGACTCATGTACAGTGAGTAGGGACGCGAGTATAGCATCGAAATCCTCCTCCTGTAAGACCTCCTCTTGTAAGATCATCTCCTGTACGGTAGATTGAGACGCTGATATGGCATCAAAGATCCTCCCCTTCACGAAAGGAATAATCTGCGTTATTCATCTCCTCGTTCGCCTCTTCTTGAGCCTCTTCGCTTAGGAAGACGAGGTCTATATCAAGTCGCCCAGAATATGCGTTATCACCGTATATTCGAATCATACCGTATAACTATCAGTTAATTGATTAACTATCTCAGGATGCGTTCTCTACCTAAATTAGGTGGCAGGACGGAATTGGTTGGTCGAGGCGCAAATCCCTGCAAAATTTGTTAAATCCCTGTCACACCCCGGTCGTTTGTGCACTGCGACGGCCAAGGGGATAGCAGAACCTGAGATAATGGAATATTGAAAAAAAATGGTTACCAAAATTATCGAGGTTCGCCAAGAAGCCCCTTTGTCCCCGATATTTATCATCAATTCACTTGATACTGTGGCACTTAATGGACGAGCGACAAGGGCTGAGGTTGAGGATAATGAGTCGACGTTTAGGAGCTGCTGGACCATCAGATATGGCTTTGAGACATGGTACGGTTCCGCTAACTAGTGATAAGAGTAGTTAACGATGAGGGTCTAGTAAGTAGTGGCCCTCAAGGCAGACTTCGGTGATTGAGCGTGTTGCCGAGCTGACATCGAGGGCGGTTGACTGAAGATCGCATCCGTGTTACACGACTCTTATGTAGCTCTTCAACTGCCAGACGACTATCCCAAACATATAATTCTGCTCGTCCTCCCCTAATGGACTTGATGACTTTGGCAAGTCCCCCCGTCAGTTCGTCAAATGCAGGATACAGTCTTGCGAAGTCTAACTCTATCACGAATATGTTCCCTAAGAACCGCGCTGAAACGATGAATATAATAATGCCAGACCAGTGGTGTTATATCTTTTGTGCAGAGCGTGGTGGTTTCTGGCAGAATTTCCAAGACTTAGCACGACTGTAGCCTGGCTACGCGTGCGCTATTCTGCTTCATCATTCTGCTGTAGGATGGCCTGTACTCTTGCTTTCCCCTCCCTAACGGAAGGCACATCCTCAATATTCAAGCTAACCTGAACACTTCCTCCCTTGCCGACGAGATAAACGATTTTGTTTTGCAGTAGCAGTTTGGCAACTCGCTCTTCGGTCCTAGAGCAACCTTGCCACCCTGCAAGCCGCACGATGTGCATGGCCGCAACACAGTAAAGTTGCTGGCCTAGCCAGATAAACTGAGCCGGCCCATTCATCCAAGAGAGTGCGAAGAGCCCAGCGGGGAAATAAAGAACGAACATGTAAACAATGATGATGTTCACGGTTTCTCTGACTCTATCCATATATGCAGATCGAATCGGATGTCCGTAGTGACGGAAAAACTGAAACAGCCCGGAGGAATTAGGCGGCTTACTGTTCGTACAAATAAGCACGTAGCCGAGCGATGGACACATTACTTCGATGATTTCTTGGCGACCTGGCGTACCGGATGGTTCTTGAACCGACAAGGCAGTCGCACCGGATTTTTCTTCGCGTTGTTGGTGGCCACTTGGTGGATTCGAGATTGGTTTCAGAGGGTTCCCTCGATGATCCGGATTTCTCGGAGCGTCCAATGGTGGTGCCTTCTCACTCATAACACGATTGTCTTCAGCAGTGGCCATGTTCACCATCGTAGCAGGTCCGACAATGTCCTCGCGACGGACCGTGAACAGAGCAGCCACAATCTTTAGAAAAAGGGGGATGCAGAGAAATGGCGCGAGCCAGACGTCCGGCAATTCACTTGTGCTGTTGCCGAATCGATACCACAACCCGGTCGCGATAGCAATGAAGAGAGTGGGAAGCTCGCTCGCTAGAATGCCCAGAAATGTCCATACCGTGACATGAGACTCGGAGACATCCACACCCGGCGTTTTTCGCAAACCATCCCGTGGCAATATCTCGAGTGAAAGTCGAAAAATGGGTTTCATTGCACGGGACGAGACGACCGCCGCCTCGTGGTCATCGCTGCCAGTGATCTTCTGATTGGAGGTGATGCGACGACACTCCACCTGTCTCAAGACCTCGAGCCAGAGCCCGTTGCGGACGCTGCTAGGTGTTTCTCGACGCTTTTGCGACAAAGCGGTTCGATAGAAGTATTCGATCCCACTATTTTCGGCGAAGAAGGGCGTCCCAAGTATGTCTCCACGTAGGAAGCCTTTGTAGAGCCCGTGATCACGGAAGCTATCGAGGGTCTCTAAAGCAGCCCGATGCAAGGGCCCGCTCATGCTGCTCAGCAGGGAGAGCTTGGCAAAGGAGGAAATGTCGAGATAGTTGTGGAATCGTTGTGGCCAGAGTACTCGCTCGAACATGGCATCTTCAGCCACCTCTGCACCCATGTAGCCGATGATTGCACCAAACGCGGTGATGGCAGCAGCAGCTGCCATGTTGAAATTGTCTGGGTGCCGCGAGGTTGTTTGAAATTCCGAAGTCGGCTAATGTCATACAAATTGGATTGAAATGATGGGATGGGACGTGGAGAAAAGGGCGATAGCAGGCAAGCACTTATGGCGGAAGTCCTTATCTTGGCGATGCTTCGAACATGGTGAGATTGGGGCTTGGGCGGTAAGTAGTCGATCCACAGTGACTGGTTGCAAGGCGGATGCACGTCCACAAACACAAAGAAGCTGGTGAGAGGCTGAGAGCATACGTATTGTCCAGGCGAAAATGCACTAGCTGCAGCCCCTGCAGGAATTCCTACTTACATAAGATCGTTAGGCATCATCCTCAAAGTTTTGTTTGGGGGCCGAGAGTCTGGGCAGAACCTATCGGCTTCAGCACCGAGTCAAGCGAATTCGCATTGGACCGGAATCTGGACATCGTCTAGGTATTCATCGTACTAAACCATTCACACTCCTTCCGGTTCACATCATCGAAAGTAGAGGCCGATGGATATGCTGCCGGACGGTTAGAACCGAGCTCTGTGTAGGTGGTCAAAATCGAGAAAGTTGCATTTTAGATAGTTAATTAGGACTTCGATTTCAGGCGCTGGAGTTGAGAGGCTGGAGTTGACTTACCTCAGCAAGCTCAGGCTATTTCTCAGGGGAGTCTAACCTTTTTTGTAAAAGGTCACGTTACTTTAACTACTCCTCTGTGTTAGACCAAAGCCGGGAGAACATCGGAGGTTATGAGGCACGTGATTGATACTCTGTATATAATACTCTCATTTGTTAAGTTTCTTAATAAGACACGTTTCGATCCAACATCTGGTAGCTCAGGAACGTCCTTAAGGGTTTCCTTGCCCTTAAGACGAGCTATCGACGAGTCCACAATGTCAAAGAAGAAGGACTCGCTGATTCTATACCTTGGTAAAAGAGCTGCGACGTCGTGAGCGTGGATAGGAAGAGTCCCGACCCCTTTTTTTGCAAATATGGATCTGTGTCCCGAAAGATGAATACTTCCTTTTGATCGTTTCCTCTTTCTTTTTTTACAAACCTCAGAATCTTCTTTGCAAGCAAAAGACTCTTCTCTCTGTACAACGACCTCTTATCAATATCCACGATGTCTGAACAGCACCAACCTACCGTTGAGGATGCTTCTGAACACTCTCAAACTGCGCCTGAAGCACCTCTGGCAAATGGACCGCCTCCTAGCGAGATGCATGGAGCTCTCGAGTCATCTCCAGTCCCTCACTTGAGTGCTGTTGCTTGGGTGAACCTTTCTCCACAGCAACAAATCAATGCTCTTACCGAACATGTCAACAATCTCCACGTTCGACAGGAGCATATGAGGACGCAACAGACTCGCAACATCGTCAACGGAGGAGCTCGCTACACTACTCCTCCAGGTGCCTCACATTCAGTGACCATGGAGGACGCCTCCACTGTGGCACCACAAATCATTAAAGGTTACAACATTCCCCACAATCGTGGCGATAGCCCCTATTCCTCTCATAACCAGGGATATGGCAATGGTTTGCCCCCCAGTGTGGTCCGACCTCGGTACAACAAGCCAACTGAGCCTGATCCTTTCAATAATGACGCGGAAAACAAGGTGCGCGAAGTGAACGACTTCATTACCCGAATGAAGGTCCACTTTAACGCCTTGGCTATTACCGAGCACGGCGGTCAGGAACTTCCTGAACCGGAAAAGATCACCCGTCTCATGGGATTTACGAAAGGCCGCTTGCAACGACAATGGATGGAGGACTATACCAAGACGATGGAGTACTACCGTTCCAGGGAAGTGACGATGATAGACCGAGACCGCGTCGGCCCCCCGGCCATCAAACCAAACGTGATGGTAACGGCAGAAGATTACTTCACTTGGCTCCGCAATATGAAGATTCCCCCAGGACACCAAATCGAAGTAAATCGTCAATACCATAACGCTCGCCAGCAAGAGAGGGAGACCGTAGAAGCTTTCTCGGACAGGTTCCTTGATTATGCCTACTCCCTAACCGACCGCCCTTCTGAACGCGAGCAATGCGAACGGTTTATGGCAGGCGTCCGCAGGCACCTCACGCAGAGGTACTATCTACAACTCGGTATCACGGATCCAAGTCAAGACAAATCAGAATGGTCTGCCCGCATCTTCAAGCTACGCGAGATCGAAGCCCTCGAAGTGTATCGCCGTCCATACTCTTCTCGAAATCGCCTCAATGCAATGGAAAATTACGGCGATGATATTGAAGACCTAGATGAGTATGAGTCTGACACTACGACGACGAACTATGACGATATGAATATGATTCGTGGATCTTCTTCTCGCGGATCTTTCCGCCGTGGAGACAGAAGCAGAACTAGCCGTGGACGCGGACGTGGCGGAAGCGAAACCAATCGCGCGCCCAGACTCGATCCGGGAAACAAGAAGTGGAAAACAGCCAGGACGTGTTACCATTGTGGTGGACACGGCCACTTTGCTCGAGACTGCCCTTCGCAAGAAGCAGAAGACGACAAGGATGATTCAGAGGAGATCCCAAAAGCCACTCGCTCGTAGAGAAGGAAGCCCTTCCGAGCATAGGTGAACCTGATGCTTCCTCTGACCCCGACAATACGTCCGACTCTCTGTGGTCGCGTGCTAAAGACGATGATCTCTCGTCTGACAGCACTGAAGATCTAGAGGTTGAGGAAATTTGGCATAGGAACGATGGGATCGACCGACTGAACGCCATCGGTTCAAACCTGATAGAGTTTACAGGAAAACTTGCACCAGAAACCAACCACTCTACCAAAGTTCAATTCATGTTAGACTGTGGTGCTGGTCGATGCTATATATCCCAGAAGCTCTGGCATAGATTTTACAAGAAGTCTCCTCAATACCTTGTCTCTAACCTACCCTCTCGACGAGTACGCCTACCTAATGGTCAAGAGATGACAAGCACGAAAGGCATTCGAGTCCCCTATAAGATTGGTTCTTTCCGAGAGACACGTACCTTCAGAGTTCTTGATATGGACGACTACGACGTAATCCTCGGAATCGAATGGCTTCGACAACACAATCCAGCAATCGATTGGCCCCTATCCAAGTTGGTCATTAAACAACGAGTGAGCAGCACTCATTCCAAGGCTTGGACTCATGTTCTACAAGGCGATTCATCAGTCGTCGACCTTAGCGATGATGAAACTCCTTGTAAAATCAACCTGATGCCATATCGATCGTTCCGAAAATGTTGGGAAAGAGAGTGCCCAGACGAACAAGGTCGCTTGTATATCTTAAAGAACGAGACTCAAGCGGAAATCAAAGGAGACGCTACCGATACCGACCTCCTACCGAAGACTACGAATGCTCGCATCCAAGAGATACTTGAGCGATATCGACATGTCTTTCGCGACAGTCTCCCTGATCACCTTCCCCCACAGAGGAAGTTTGACCACAAGATTCCTACAGGAGATGCTAAACCTGTCAACAAGCCACACTACTCCCTTCCTCCCGTACACATCGAGGAACAGCTGAAACAAGTTCGAGCCCTAATTGAGCGTGGACTGATCCGAGAATCTATCAGCGAATGGGGAAGCCCCGTATTGTTCGTGCCTAAACCGGGTGGGAAATGGCGAATGTGTGTCGACTACCGGGCTCTAAATGCGTTCACTACTCGCAACACTTATCCGCTGCCGCGTATCGATGAGTGTCTGGAAGCCATGAACGAAGCAACCGTCTTTACGAAAATCGATCTGACTTCAGGATTCTGGCAACTCCTGATTGATCCTGCTGATCAAGCGAAGACTGCTTTCAATACTCTGCATGGCAAGTACGAGTTCATTGTGATGCCGTTCGGCCTCACCAACGCCCCGTCGACGTTCCAGCATCTGATGAATGATACACTGCGACCGTTCTTGAACCGTTTCGCGTTGGTTTACCTAGACGACATCATCATCTACTCCAAGACACTGGAAGAACATGAACAACACATAGAAGCCGTACTCAAAGCTTTGGCTGACCAGGAGCTGTATGCACAGCCCTCGAAATGCTCAATCGCAGCCGAAAGCATCGACTTTTGTGGCCATGTCATCGAAAAAGGCATCGTTCGCCCCCAGCAGAAGAAGGTTGACGTCATTCGAGAGTGGCCAACACCTAGAACCGTACACGATGTGCGCCAATTCCTTGGTCTTGCCGCATATTACCGTCGTTTCGTGAAGGGATTCGCTAAGATTGCAGCCCCGCTACATGAGTTGCTGAAGGAAAAAGATCAGGCCCGCAGGAAGGACAAGTTCCGACAAATCCGCTGGACATTGTCCTGCCAAGCGGCGTTTAACGAACTCAAGGACTGCCTGACTTCGAACCCCGTCCTTATTCAGCCAAACTTCCACAAGCCCTTCACCATCGAAACTGACGCTTCAGAGTGGGCCATTGGTGGAGCCTTATACCAAGATGATGACAATGGCGTATTTCACCCAGTTGCTTTTGAAGGACGAAAGTTGGGCGCCGCTGAACTCAACTACCCTGTCCATGAAAAAGAACTGCTGGCGATTACCCACGCCTTGAAGACATGGAACAAGTACATCCTTGACAAAGACAAGACGACGATCCTCACGGATCATGAGAGCCTGAAGTACTTGCAGACTATGTCTCACCTAACGAAGAGGTTGGCCCGCTGGATTGGAGAATATCAGCAGTATAACCTCGACCTACAATATCGGAAAGGTACCGAAGCAACTGTGCCAGATGCACTCTCTCGACGCCCAGACTTTATGGAAGACGTTCCCGCCAATCAAGCGCAGAATTTCCGTAACCCGTATGCGCTGAACGTTATTGAAGAAATGAGCTTTGAAGAGAAGTGTATTCAAGCCATCAGAACATGGTTGCTTACCGGAATACTTCCCGATGACAAGCGTGTCCGGCGCAACAAGCTACTCAAGCTGAGAGAGCTTTCAAGATTCCGCATCGCGCCAAAGGATGACCTCCTTGAACGCCGAATTGACGACCACAAGGACGCCCCTTGGGTGCCATACTGGCCCCCACCGACTCGCCGAGACTCATTGCGCAAGGTCCACCGCGACTATGGCCACTTTGCTTGGCCGGCCTTGTACGGCGTGGTCGAAACAAAAGGGTGGTGGCCGAGTATGCAGAAGGACATTGAAAACGTGGCTTCAGATTGCCCTGAATGTCAACTAGCGCAGTCCAAGCGCCAAAGTAAGGAAAATGAAGCCCGATTTCATCGTGTTCAA